TCAGATCCCGTACCCTCTCTGCTCAGCGGGTCTTTTAACGTGTATCTCACACCAACCTACCTCAGCAGTTACATGAAGATGAGAACAGACGGAACAGCTAACCCACTAGTCCTAAATAATCTGAACGTGAACAATACGATCCTTGTTCTCTCAGACACATTTGAGGTCCGTAAGGCACCTGTTAGGGTGAGCTCAACGCCCCGCACGAGCGCAGGGCTTCCTGGTAGGCACCTACTGACCTGGTGTGAAATCAAACCCCACTGACTACCCGCCGCGTGGGCAAGGTTCCTTCAGAAATTACAACTCGAGCTACTTCGTTCTTAATGCTCCTACATCTTCAGCTTGTGAAATAAAGAAAATCTGTCCTTTCTCGCGCCCAAGCACTGTGCCTGTCCAGACCAACAAGCGTCTACGTTCTGGGGGTGCCTGCAGGACAGCAGCCCTGCGGCGCGTGCACTACGTCTCTCCATCATCTCCCATAGGCACACGCATCAGGTACTAATTCTGCACTGCTGGCATTTCCTCCTGCCCCGGAACACGGGAGCCCGCGGGCGGTACGGGAGGAGGCTCCCCGCACGCCCGTGCAATCTGCAGCTGCTGCCGACGGCTGCTTTCTTCCACCCGCCTCAGATGGGTGCAGATACAGCAATCTTGCCTTCGCTGTGTGAGGAAAAACACAGTATTTTGATGGAAAAACCAAATGAATGTTTGCCTTTGTCACACTTTATAGAACTTCCCTTTAAAAAGGGAAGGAAAAATCTCCCCGTGGTAATCTTTGGTTTGGTTTGCTACCTTTGCTTCTGCCCAAAAACCAGGACAACAGTAGGCAAAATGTGCTGCTTGTTTTTAATTAACCTATTTTAATTCATTTCTGCAGAACCCTTGCAGATGAAACAGCTGGGTTGGTGGTTTTCCCCCCCTTTTCCTTTTACATATCTTAATCTTTCATTGAAAATGATCAAAAACCCGTGGCAGCAGATGGGGATGGGATATGAAAGCTGTCACAAAGGAGTTCAGATATCAGAGGAGGAGGAAAAAAACCAGATTTCCCTTTAAGGTTTGAAAAATATTTCTAGGCTTTAAAATTCATAGGCAGCTTTGTAACTTGCAGTTCGTAAAGGAAAATTCCAGCAATCATTTGGCTATAAGTTACTGTAAGTCAATCTTTACTGTATCTGCAGTTATTTTCTTCTTTCCACGGCTCCTTTTCTCAGATACACGCACCAAGTTTTCAGTGTTTTGAGCTGAACGTGATTTAAGGTGAGGGAGATAAGAGAAATTACTGCTGTGAAGACCTGGAACCACCTCTCCTGTCGCCAGTTGTACAAAGCCGCCCCCCACACGCATTCAGACACTCGATGTGAGGCTTAATCAGTGAACCACTCTACCAGTGTCCCCTGGAATTATCCTTAAATTAGCCAGTTACGGTATTCACTACAGTATTCATTTAGCTCTGGAAAGGAAACTAGGGAAGGGCACTTTAAAAGAGCGTAAGAAAGTTATTTAAGAACTTTTTTTTGGCAAAAATACTGCCTGGAGTGCCTCACTGCAACTTGTCAGCCTGGGTGTAAGGGCAGGACCAGTAAATTCCGTCAGTGCACTTACTGAACGACGGTCTGCCAGCCTCGTGCGGAGTTAGGAACAGCAGAAATACGCAATATCAAAAATAGAAGAAATGAATTCGAGGAGTTTAGTTCAGAAGGAGGAAAAAAGGTCAGCAAACGTCACTGAAAAGGCTCAGCGGAACAGCGCCGCAGGAGAGTGTGAACGAGCCCTGCCATGGAACCCACACGCACCAGACCCCCAGCGCGTTGCCAGCATCTTGGACACGTCTCACTGGGGGAAGACGCGGGCTCGTCCTTGCGGAGACGCACACCAGACGCGGCAGCTGACTCCTGGCAGCCACTCGGTAAGGGGGACCCTAGAGTGCTCACTTCAGTTGAATAAAACCTGATCAGCCCTGGCGCTTTTCGCGGGACAGTCTCAAAAGATTTAGCAGCCATCTACCCTCCAGAGAAGGGCGGGAGAGACACTGCATTGCCCACTGCCGAAGCACGGCTGTTCAGACGCGTGGCAGTTTAAGGACACAGAACACCTTACTGCTGTAGCAGCTGACCTCAGGTACCCAGACGTTCTCTGGGTTTAAATGGGGAAAGACTCTTCCTTTAATGACTCAGTTTTTCTTTAAAACCATCACTGCATCCCGTCAGCGACAGGAGGGGAGAAGGTCTGTTTAGTCCTGGAGGCCTACCTGCAGCAGAGCTCTGCCTGGCACAGAAATGGGGAGGGTGCCCGGACAAAGAGTGCTGTAAAAAACATGGAAATTGCTGGTTTTGCTGCCCGCAATGTGAGTACGTTCCCGAGAGCCAGGCACTAGACTGACTCTGCTTGGGTTTACAGTCACAGAGCAAGTGAAGAAGGTGAAGTACACTTCCCAGTAATGAAAACAAAGCCTTAAGTGATACATCCCAGCGTCTAGTAGCACAAGTCAAAGGCTGAGCATGAGATTTTTTGAATGCTCTGTGATCGCAGACAATCTTTCAAAGGCAACATCAAAGTCCTGAAAACGGGGGCAGGAGGGTAAGGCACAAGGTACATCAGCCAGACTGACTGTGGCAGGTTCCCCCGAGTAATACCTCGCCGGGAAGCTAAGAGACGGGATGTATTTACATGTATTTGCCCTGCAAAAGAACCCAAATTCCTGGAAAACACAGGCAGGAAATTGGGGCAAAACAAACTGATGGAGGAGTTTCTCATGTATTTGCTCAAACCCCAGTGCTTGCAGGGGTTCGAGCAAACCGGGACAGGTACTTACAACACCTCTCCTATGACGAAAGGCTGCGAGCACTGGGCTTGTTCAGCCTGGAGAAGAGGAGGCTCCGAGGAGACCTCATCGCAGCTTTCCAGTATCTGAAGGGGCTACAAGGGTACTGGGAGAGGACTTTTTACAAGAGCCTGTAGTGATAGGACAAGGGGTAATGGGTATAAATTGAAATCAGGGAGGTTTAGATTAGATATCAGGAAGAAGTTCTTCCCACAGAGGGTGGTGAGGCACTGGAACAGGTTGCCCAGAGATGATGTGGATGCCCCATCCCTGGGTGTCTTCAAGGCCAGGCTGGATGAGGCTTGGAGCAACCTGGTCTAGTGCAAGGTGTCGCTGGACATTGCAGGGGGGTTGGAACCAGAGTGTCTTTAAGGTCCCTTCCAACCCAAACCATTCCATGATTCTATGATTCTAACAGTCGGTGCAGGTTTGATGCAGACAGCAAGACTGTCATTAACAGCACTAAAAGGTGCAGTAATGTGAGATATATCTGCAGAATTGCTTAGTGTCTAGCTTTTCTCTCCCATTCTTCTATAAGTGTGATTTCAGACAAGCCGTTTAAGACTTAACTTCAAATGCATTTTAGTTTTTCATGTGCAGCTTGAGGCATCCTGACCCAATACTGGCACTGTGCGCCACTCCATATCTCAGTCTGCAACTAGACACATCATTTAATTAATGAATGGCTGCACTTTTCACCCCAAGCTCTTCGAGCACTTTTAGCCTCAGCTCAACAACTGCAGGTCTAAAAATGAAGAATACGTTGTACCAGCCTCGACCGTTCAAGACTCTGGCCAGCATTTCATAAGCTTTACCCCTGAATCCAGGTCTTAGTCTATGAGGCGGCTACGCCTCGACGGAACAAGCTCCCTTCATCTGCCGAATTGCACTCGGCTGCACAGCAGTTCTTTTTACTCTCTTGCAGGGCTCAGCTGAAACCAAGCAGGCAAACGGAACTAAACTTGGGTTCTGCTGATGTGTGGTCTGCCAGGCTCAAAGAAATGAGAGCGGAGCACTCTGATCCTCCATAATCTACATCGTGCGAGAATTAAAGCTGCTACGAAGTCTCTGTGTGGGAACAGCTAGCAAAATCTGCTAAACCCATCTGTTTCTCTGGCCATGTTTATTCATAAAAATAAAGGGGAAGATGCATTCTATAACAAGTGACTTCGGGCCAGATTGCACTGTCTTCCTAATGCAGAATAAAGGCAGTTGAAGTGGTACAGTGGAATCCACGAGGACACTCACACGTGCAGCTGGCAACAGAATTCAGTGCCCTGCATCCAACAGAACCTTTTTCTGTTTTAAAAGCCTCTCAAAACGAGCGAGGTAGGTCTCTTTGTTACAACAGACATTTACACCATACAAGATGCACCAACATAAACCCCCCAGTGACCTGCATTGACTGCCTTGGTTTGCTCTGCTTGTGTGAGAACCTTTTGCTTCACCCATTAAACTGTCGTTATCTCAGCCCAGGAGTTTTCTCACCCTTTTCTCTCCCCCATCTGCGCGTGGGGGGAGAGAGCGAGCGGCTGTGTGGGGCTGAGCTGCTGGCTGGGTTAAACCACGACACTGTCCTGCCAGATGCAGTGTTGAAAAATCACCCCCCCTGTAGAGCGCAGTTTAATTTCTCCTGTTCATCGGCCGGTGCTGGCAAATCCAGCTGGGGAACAGATTTTAATGGTGATTTATACACCAAAATGCTTTAAAAAATGGTCCTGAGCATTCACCTCGACCACCAAACATCGGTCATGGAGTAAGAACAAGTCATGGGGTCATTCAAGCTGATGACCTGGCTAGTGAATTTTAACGCTGCGAGGGTCTCAGGGCCCAACGTAACAAGTAATTAATGAAGGCGTCAGTGCTGTTAGTAGACTGTGTGACATACTGAAAAATGATGAAATCACCGACGCGGAATTCGGCAGTTACACATCAACCTCCCGAGGCATCCCATCCTCTGACAGCATCTGCAGTAACTCAGCACGTTTCACAGAGCATCGCACAAGGATCATTTTTGCTGTCATTTGCACAGATCCAGCGTGTGTCCCAACAGCGTGGTCACACCAGCAACAGGGAAGGGGAGTAATTCTTGCACATTCCCTTCCTCTAGACAGGGCTGACTAGAAATCCACCCAGGAGACGGTCCCACAGATTCTGTGGTTTATGCTCAGCTCACCTGGACTCCCTCTGAGTGATGGCCAGGAAGATTTCCCACGAACTCTCCTCAGGAATAGCTCCATGTGGTATCAACAGACTGACTCCTACGGAAGAGCAAAGGCAGAACTTAGCCTTGGGGTGTCAAGCACAACTGGCCTCTGATCTACAAGACCTAGAAAGGCCATCTACTAGAGCAGAATGCTCCTCTGAAACGGGTTCTGACTACAACTTTATCAGATGAACAGAAAATACATTATTAATATGATGCAGAGTTATCAATATTTAGCTGTCTTGCAGAGTCTGGAATTACACAGACTCATATGCCTAAAAACTTGCTCCAACAGAGCTCTTAAATACTTGACTTCCCATTGTTTTGCGTCACTAAGTGACACTGGATTCTCAGTCTAGATGTGACAAGGCTTCTCTTTATCCTCGGCAAAGGCAGACTCTTGTCTACTTCTCCACTTGCACAAAAGGGAATAATTCATGGGAACAAAGGGTCCCATCGGCTGTTTCCTTAAGGCTTCCAGCAAGCATGGTTTGTAATCCCAGTGACTGATGGTCTCCTGACCCTGACAGGCTTTTGTCTGACCCAGTGACAGAACAATCTCTTTTGAGTTCACAATTTAATTTTTCTTTTCCTCTTTTTTTAAAGTAATAAATGTAGTCAAAAGCACGTGTGCCTTCAGTACCTTCTGAGTTGGCCTTTGCCAGCTTCTGGAAGGCAGTCAGGGCAAGCCAATTATAAGCTCTATTAATCATTTGTTAACCCTTTCACTCTTATTTGCCAAAGTGCCTCTCGGTGGCACACATCCTGCCCTCTGCATAGCTCCGTATTTTACTGGACACGATCTTGGCTAAAAGTTTCCAAAATCAAATCTGATAATTCTTGGATCACCAGGAATCTCCTCATACCTAACAAAATTAATCTGAGTTTGCATGGAGATCACCATCCCCTTCAGCTCATGTACATAACTCGTGAATCCAAGCGACAGCACCCTTGGTTTATTCCAGCGGTATAAGTTAGCGTTAACGGGGATGCTTTCCACCAGGTACCAGGGAAATTCAACTGTTGCGTAGCAGAGTCAGTAGAGGAAGACTAGGCTTGACTTGGTGTATGTCACCCGGTGCAGAACCTCAGCTTAGCAGGGATATGACTGCCCTCTAATTTACAATGGGCTAGCAAATTTGATCTTACATAAATAGGCAGAAGGAAGTACATAAATTGCAAGCGGAGCAAATATGTATTTAAATAATCTAAATTGATGGGACTGTCATTACATAAAGTAGCTAAATATATACTGTGAGGGGCTCCATTTACGACTTGATTTAGTGCCTCTGCCTTTGTAATATTCATTCCTGAACATAAAAACAATCTGTGGAGACATGAATACACTCCATGTGTTGTGCATGATTGTACACTAAATATTATCTCTCTGAATCATACACTGTTATCAGTCTTCTCTAAACACAGACCACGTTTTCACGGCACCCTTTAAGGGACCCGTTCTATGAAACAGGAGGGATAAATCTCTGGAGCAATCAGTGCAACTAGGTACTACGAGGTGAGCCTGGGTACAGCAGTCAAATGAAGTCAAAGTTGAATTGAAAGGAGACTTTGAGCAAGGGTGACCAGAGTTTGAAAGAGATTCTCTTCGCTAGCCAGGGAGGGTGATTTCTGCTCCACTTGCCATTTTGAAAAAGAAAGCATCCACCATACGGAATTCTATTCAGCGTGATACGAACGCAGTGATGTGGCGCAACATACGGCAGGAATATGATTTTAACATCCTTCATTTGAGTCTAATTGGGTGCCGTATGTTTTCAGCTAATTCAACAAATTTCTCAGGTCTAAAATGTGTCTGACAAAACTCTCAAGTCACAAAACAAACTCTGCTTCTTAAACCATGCAGCTGAGCGTCTCTGCGGCGGTGTTCTGTGCACAGCCCGGGCCTGGAATGCCCGCTGGCTTTGAAGTCCCCCGCTGTGGGAACGTGTTAAGCCAAAAGAGAGAGAAAAGCTGGAAGCCAGGAGTAAATGCGAAGGAACGCCGCACTGGGGTTTTCATTGACAGCGGAAACTGTTCTGCAGAGACGCCTGTTCGCTGCAGACTTCAACAACACTGCGAGCTCTGACGACGCTAACGCAGTCAGATGTTGATGCGTGTAGGTTCTGCTTTGAATACGACCCCATTACAGAAGATGCTGATCCAATATCGACCTCCTTCCTGGGGAGCCCTTCTTTTGGACCAGGATCCAAGTAAGCAACAGCTTTGATTAGTACGACTTTCATGCTGAAAACATCAAGAGAGGCAGTAATTTATAACAGTTCAAATGGGCGGAATGCCTCTTTACCACTCATCCCAAGCTTTGCTCTGATGTGTCTCCTGTGTGGGCAACACGCTCTACTTCCCAAAGTTTGCACTGAGGGAGCCACTACTTTTCTTTCCTCTTTTTTCTTTTCTTTCGTCGCTGAACACTACATCAGGAAAAATAATTTTAACCTAAAATTATTTGATATATACGCTTTTAATGAGAAAGGATCCACCCACCTGTGTTTGGAACCACTAAACGGCCACCCAGGTGTCCAAAAACAGCATTTGTCTTCAGCTCACTTCTCATTGAAACAGAAGACAGGTTCTGAATGTACGCAGCCTTGTTCCTAGCCTGCATTGTACCAAAAGCTCTGTTATTCCCATGAGGAAAAGTTCCAGAATGTGCCTTTCCATGATACTCAGCCCTCTCCGTCACCCCGAGGGACACCATGAATGAACTCTGCACTTTGACTTTGATGTCTGAGAGCGGGTTGAAGAGCGAAGACTCCGTCATGAGCTCCTTGTCCATGGGGTCCTGCAGGCAGATGGGCCCACTGTACGTCCTGCTCACTGTCAGGTCAGGCTGCATGGAGGAGTTCAGAAGCAGGGAGTTACCTGGGAGAAGGAAGCAGAGCAGGGAGTCAGTCACGGTGTTAAATCAGAAATCTCTTTCTGACCTCTCCACCATTTCCTTTCTGGCCTGCTCTTCCTTCCTGATACTCTCAGAGCTCAAAATCACATAAAGTAACGTTAAAAAACATGAAATTGATCTAACGGGTACTTTATCACTCTGTTTTCTGCACTTCAGGCAACCCCAGGTTGCATGAATCCAAGAAGGAATTTCCTTTTGTTTTGGATCCAATTTTGTGTGTATGCCTTTTTCTTTTTTTAATTAAAACCCATTGGGTGAAAACACATCTTCCTGCAGCCCTTTTCTGTGAGCTTACACCAAATGACAGCTTCATGCCTCAGGGAAACTGGGCTGAAAAGAAAGTGGGACAAGAGTAATATAGGGAAAAATACCTTAGATATTCATTTATAGAGTCATAGAATCCCAGAACGGTTTGGGTTGGGAGGGACCTTAAAGACCATCCAGTTCCAACCCCCCTGCCATGGGCAGGGACACCTTCCACTAGACCAGGTTGCTCCCAGCCTCATACTGAAGACAGCCAGGCTCAGAAAACACTCTGGAAAAACCAGGAATGGATAGATTTAGGGCCTGAATCCTTTAGCTGGTTTGGTATTTGTTGTTTGTTTGTTTTGGTGGGTTTATTTTTTTTGGTTGGTTGGCTTTTAGTAAATACAAGTTTTCCAAAGTAACTGATTTTATAGAAATTCTCTCTACTGCCTCCTTGAAAATTTGATCAGTTTTAGGGCCTGCAGGTTGAGTAGCCAACATCATAAATACACATTTTATTCTTTGAGAAGTGTATCACTCCAATCCATTGTCTATATGTCAGCACCGTGCTCTCTCTTCTCAGCAAACTAAGCAGAGAGCTGGCCTTTTTTTCAGCTGAATTTAGTTTACAAATGCTCTTATTTTAAAAAAAAACCCACAGAGAACCCAAAGTCACAGAAAGTGAACTAATAGCATCCTGGCATAAGAGAAATTGGCGCACTCAGATGTTTTCTGTGTCCGGAACTAATGTGTTTGAAGCACTAAGTCAAACAAACAATTCCCCAGAGTCCAACAGAGGCTTTCATGGCAAACTGAACAACAAAGGAAAAAGTTGCTCTTTGAGACAGTCATTGAGTATTACATGATGCTAATTAAAGGCTTGGATAGTTAAATGAATGAGTAAACATCCTTCAAACATCCATCCTGTCTACCAAGCCCTTTTTCCAATTTCTTGCGATTTATACTTGGTGAGGAATGTCTCCCAGAAAATAAAGTAACTGTAAAAAAAAAACCCAACATAAGAAGCCCACCAAAAACCCCAAACTGAACATTTTCACTTTTTGGAAGGAGAGGAGACATGGGGACACTTTCACACCCCAGCAGCACACCCACCCACCCACAGTAAGGCAGGTGGCTATGCTAGAACATCAGTGCAGAATTAAAAACCCATACAATTTCAAAGTAATCCCCATTCGTATTCATCCCACCTTTCTGCCCCCAGGAAGTAACATTCCAGAAAACATCTGAGTGCTGCTTTTGGTGAAAGTTGATTGTTCTTCCATGTCTCATGGCAGTGGTGGCTTTCTGAAGTTTTCTGTGTTTTTGTTTTTGGTTTTTTTTTAATCAGTACATGTTTGCACCCATTTATTTCCCACAGACCTCAGAAGGTGGATGTCTATGTGATAACAAAGGCTTATAAAAGCGCTTTAAGTTCGGTTTCTCAGATTAACAGTAAAAAACCGAATCACTTTTATCGGAGTAAAGAAAACAGAAGATCTGTAGCTGAATGGGAAGAAACCACAGACGTGCTTTCTGGGTTTGGTTTCTTGGGCTTTTTGTAAGTCACAGATGCCAGTGTAGGAGCCAGTGACAGTGTGTCTGAAGCGCATAGAGCACAGTCAAAAAGATTATGTCCAAGTTGCCTTGACAAATGGGTAGCAGAGACCGTAAGAGACACTTCCAACCACCAGCTCCTGTTCCCGGCCCTGGCTTTCAGCGCATCTGCTCAGCATTAAGCGAGAACGCCCTCCCACAGCCAGTCACTGACAATGAGCCTAGGATCTCTCTGCAGTAGGAGCTCTGGAGAGAAGAAAATGAAATCACAACACTAACCTTGTCTGACTGTTTTAAAATTAAATGTCTGGAAGCCTCCTGTCAGTGCAGATGAATCAATCACATCCACGCCGTACTCACTCTGACTCCGTCTGTAAAGGGTAACGCCAACCACCAGCACAGCTACAGCAATGACTGCTGCCCCCAGGCCGGAGTACAGGGCGATGTCACTGGCAGTCTCGATATCTGAAAGGGGAAGATGCGGGTACCAAGTCAGCATCACCGGTGAAAGCAACGGGGGTTACAGAGGCCGCAGGCACGCGGCCAGGGAGGTAAAGCTTGAGACGGAAGCGTGGAGCGGATCACAGCAGGACGGGGAGCACAAAGGAACACGGAAAGGGAGCATCTGAGATGGGCAAATCTCCTGATGCGTCACTCCGTAGAGGTGAGCTCACAGTGGTTTAGGGATTGCATCGTGTCTTGGTTTTTTAAAACGGGAGAGCTGGACTCGTAACAGCCCGAAGCAGAGCCCCCACCACGTGACAGCCTTCCTCCCACCTGCACGCTCGGGCTGCTTGTGCCATCGTTCCCCATTCCAGCCCAGTGGAGCTCATTAGGGCACGGTAATGCAGCCCTTCCAGGAGGGCTGCTGGGGATCAGCATGGTCTGATCTACTCCTGGCTTCCCGGACACTAAGTTTTAGGTTTGAATTCAGAGCTAATCCAGGAGATTGTGAATCCTCTGAAAAAGTCTTGGTGAAGACTTCCCCTTTCCCCCTCCTCTGTGTAAGAAGGACGAGTCCATCCTCTCGCAGCTCAGAGAGGGGATGAGGAGATCCCAGATAGCTCCTTGGATTCCTGCAAGCATCTTCACTCTTTAAACACAGGTTGGAAACCAAACTCTGCATCGAGCTTACAACTAAGTTTTCTAAGACCTCAAACCTTTACAGCAAAGAATAATTCAGTGCTTTGAAAGAATGAATCCGAATGAAACTTGCAATATTATGTAATTGAATTATCCAGCCCCGCTATTCTAGATCTTCTGAGATTTGGGACCACGTACCATGAAATTGAATTACTTGGCAAGTACACTGAGTGGGTCCTCAGACAGTTCCTTAATGCCAAACTCCAGTTTAGAGGAAGAGATAATCATGTGCTCCCCTACAGATCATCCGTTATCCTACTACGGGCTGCTTCTGCTGGCAAGTGAGAAGCACTTGGTACAGAAAGTGCATTTATTTATAACAAAGGACAGTGACAAAACATAACGAGGAAATCCAGACTACTCGGTATGGGCAAACAAACTGCAACGTGCAGAAATAGGGTAGGAAGTTAAATTCAGCATTTAATAAATAGCCAATTACCAAAATTACTTAATTAGCCTTCGGGAGGAGGCTTCTGTTGCGCGTATGTTTTTCTGCAGAAAGTCAGATTCCTTTAGCTGAATTTTAAAAATGAGCATGAAACTCGAGACCGTGGAGATGAAAAAAACTGAGTACGTCGGGGCAGCCTAGGAAAAGCTGATTTTCCTGGCTCACCAGTTTCTTACGGAAACTCAGTGTCTGACACATCACAAAGCAAGCGGCAGAGGTTCCCGGGAAGGCACGCCAGCTGCCAAACGCGAGAGCCGAGCGCCGACTGTTCTCCAACACGAGGGAGACGCCACGTGAACGGCAGCAGCGAGGAAACGGCGTACATCCACATGGCCTTCAGTAGGCCGGGGCACGTGGGATTGTTGCTGGGAATAAGGTGACGTAACGCAAGTTTTCACTGGGCGGTTGAATCAAAAAGTCAAATAAACTGCGTGGCTCAAGCTTCCTTGTTAGAAAACACCCTTTCCATCCCCATTCTCAAGCTGTTCCCAGTCAGCCCCAAATACAACATTCTAACTTCCCAATCAACCGAAAATAAACGCTCTGAAATCAGTTTCTCTGGGACGGCTGTTTAGCCCAGAAAGTACTTTTGCAAAAATTCTGCTGAATTTTCAAATAACCTCATACTGAAAGAGGTCCAGTTCCCATTTCCAATGTGTTTAGGACTTGCTGAGGAAGAGAAAAACACCAAACAAACCCCACACGCTGATTTCCACGCAAATACCAGCTCTCAGAAGAAATCCATCTCCAGTGGCATCTCGCAAGTACTCACAGCTGAGTAAGCTTGGAACTCTTCTCCTGCTTCTTAGAACATTACAACTGCCACACAGATCTACTAAATAAATGACTAGAAAGCTTTTTTCCCCATTTTTTCTATGAGATGCCCCCTTGAAGAAAGTAGTAAAGCGACTTTTAAGCATTTTTGGTTCGGAGTGAGGAACTGTGGAGCGTAAGCTGTTAGCTGACAGTACAAATGTACTGGACTAACAGCGGGAGATGCCCGTAGTCTCTCACTCCAGATGGAAAAAGTAAATGCAGAAAGCCGGGTTCCCAAAGGCAGACGGCGGAAATACCTGAACTCAGACCAAGGCTGAATCCCAGCCCGGGGCCTCCCTCCCATACTGGTTTGCCTCCATTGTATCCTCTAGTGTCAGGTGCAGAAAGAGAAGTACAGACACTAATTACATTTCCATTTCCTCCAGTGCTCTATTCCCAAGCTATTGTTGTTACAGGGAATTAATTATAAAACTCTACTGTTGACTTAATTTTTGTGGGTAATGAGTGCAATGAATAAGCCCAGAGAAGGAATTCTGTCTATCTCCAGTGGCAGAAAAACCCGACAGCCAGTGGGCTCTTCTCCCTTCTAGACAAAGCATCCTTCCCCTTCCCACAAAGCATCTTTAAGTCTTCCATTTGGATCGTTACTTTAAACCAGAAAAGTACTGAAAATTTGAATTACCTCTTCTACCTCCTTGGGATAATAAATTATGAAGCCTGAAACACGCAGAAATAACCTCTCAGTAAAAAATTACTGCACCGTAACGGCCACAGTTAGCAAACCCAGGAGTTGATCCTTCACCATCCAAACCGGAATATAAAACTCAAGTTCTCACCTGTGAGGAACTGTCATTTATTACTTTAAATCTACTTAAATAGCCCAGCTTCTTCATTTCAATCGATCCAGATGTCAGAAAACTTAAGTTTTATACTCCTGACTGCACGAGGGCGTTGGGCACGGGTTAAAGATGGGAGCGAGAACACGGAGCTTAACAAAATGGGAACAGTTTGACTCAAGCAAAGTTTTTCTGGAGAGAGCAGTTTTGTTTTCTGCGAGCGCTTTTAAGCATCCCTGCAAGTTGAATCTGACACTTTCCTGTAAACTGTACGATTAAAAGCTCTTAGTTCTGAATTTCCTCATCTTTAATAAAATGGTCATTGTTCGGTTGGATAGAAGACCTGGAAGAGGTACTCAGTGTTCCCGTAATCACCCCACGGCAAGGGGAAGGCCAACCCACAAGCCCAGAGCAGCCAACACACGGAGTTCAGGGGACAGGGATGCCCTTTGCAGGAATCGGTACATTTTACGCAGCTGCATCTTGGAAGAGGAAAGCGAGAGTGACATGGCATCCTGAGCTATTCCTGCAG